CTGATTCATAGATAGTTAGAGCGGGCAAATTATTCGAAAAGAACTTCCAGCATTATAAAGTATTACATGTGAGGTTAATTCATATAAAAATTATATTTGAGCAAGTACCTCAAGTTCTAGTACAAAACTCCAATCTCATCATAAGTGACTGAATTGCACCCAACAACTTTAGTGAGGTTGTCTTTCAATGTTAGAACAACATACGAAGATCGTTGATGAGGTTTCGCTTTTGGGCCATTCGGTCTTCGGACTAAATACCTGATTTAGCTCAATAATAACTTACTCTCATGTATTTGAAAGGGATCGGCAATCTATGTTGAGATGAATTATGCCTGCGTTATACGGAGATACAGTAAATGATATTTCAAGACGTTTCCTTTACAGCAAATTTGTGACGTGGTATGTGCCGGCACTCTTGCTGGAATTAAAACATTCTGCAACATGTTGTCAAACATGCTCCGGGTATAAGAATGCATATGACTGTGGCGCTACATGTCCGTAGCATATGTCACAACATGCGCCCCGAACATCTCAGATTGTAACATGTGCCTGGTACCTTTGTGCGAAAAAAATATTGCAAACAGCATAACAAGTGCCCCAGGCGCATGGTACGAAGTGTATGCCAAATATCCTGATGGTTTTCAACATTTTGCAGCACATGTACCTGGACATTAGCGTTTCCAATTGTACAATCTGCAAGTACATGTTTCGTAACATAAAAAAATTCATATGAACATATGCTTTGAAATATCCTATTATCTACTTATATACATATACTTAACTATATAAATGTGTACGCCACTGATGAGACTTAATAAGGACCAATGTAAATGCTGCTCAAGTAATCCCTTGGAGAGAGATGATCACGCACATAATGCACTGCATACATTTCTCAGTAAACTACCTTCAGCTCTTGTTCAAAGTAGAAAGGGTTGAATTTTACATACGGTTTTTCTTCCAAATTTTCCTACTCCTATTCCTATGCCGCTGGTTTAGACCCAGTTTTGCGTATGTTGGGTATGCTGTTATGTACAAAACCTTAAGTCAATACCATAATCTGTTTTTCTTTTTCATTCCAAAAGTAAAACTCCAACATCCTGTATCTAAGTAAGAGGTATTTTAGGACACATGTTTATATGAAGTTTTCGTGTTATTTTTTTGATATATAAGTATTGCCACTGTTTTCTGAATCATCCTGTATAAGAAACGTGATAACTTTCCATACGATGGAGCTACAGCAGTGGCTCAATTTATGTTTGCTATTTCTGGTTCTCCGTAATTTTCACGCGTTGTCAAAAAGATATATGGAATTATTCCAAACTTAATAAGAGATTGGCGGTTTGCATTTTGTTCTTCCAAAATTCCAGATCGTTCACGAGTTAGATCAGAAGAAAACTAAAAAAATATTGTATGGTTGTATTTTATTGTTTGTTTCTTGAATAATTTAGGGAATTTGATTGACTGAAGTTTCCGGTTCCCAGAACCATTAGGTGTTTAATTGTAATGCGGATTGAATTGTATAAAAAGCATGGAATTTTTTCAAGGTATGTATTAATGGATTCCATATAATTTAGTGCATTCTCTCGTTATAAAAGATATGATCCAGGTACATGAATAATCGTAATCAAGTCAAATGCATTTTTATTTCTTTCAATGGTAACTACCAGCAGAATGCGAATAATCCATTGAGCAGTATCACTCTACTCTTGTAAAACTGAAATTACGTATCATTAACGATAATTCCTTCAAGATTAAGGATTATCATCGCTATACCACATTATTTACGTAAAATGACCTGCAATTTTTTTAATCTAGGTTACTCCGTATACGGAGACGTCATTGTCATTTCTCTTTTTTTTTTCATTGCTACAGGTCTATTTTTATTGTCTTATTGTTATGAAAAATAGCAACAATGGGATTCTAATTCAACTAAATATGCAACGAATTACTTTCTCCGGCCCGTGCTATACTGTCAGAACTGTTTCCTTGTTATTGTACATTTTTATGATGTGAAGAAATAGAAAGGATTATATATAGTATATGTAAAATCCGTATCATAACTCTAACATACTTAATGCAGATCTCATAATTTATTTTCAACATTTTGTAACTTCCTCATGAGCGATAGTGCTGTATGTTTGACATCAGTGAACAACAAGAAAATATGCAGATTTTGATATTAAAATGATTTCTCCTCTGTGTCATAAATGTTACTACCGACTGAGCCAGTCTGCTGGAGAAATTTGTTTTATAATTAAGTTTTTCAATTATAGGTAGCACTACAACATGTATCTACAATCTCATTTTGTACTGATGGTACATTAAAAGGTAATTTTTCTGCCGTACAAACTTTTATTCCATATCTAACCATTTTTCCTTATCAAGAAAAAGCATACCCATGTTCCTTCAATGCATCTGTGCTGATTTTGAGTATGTGAAGCACGAATAAGGTAATGGCTCGATATATCTGACCCAATTTTGATTTCAATTATTAGCCCTATAAGCCCCATAACGTATGTTAAAAGTCTGCAATCAAAAAATATGTCTTAATTTCAGTATATACAAGAATGTTGTATTCTGTTTATCCGTTATAAGTGTTAGCGTTTTCTGTAACCTAAAGTGAAGGTATTAGTGTTCGATTTCCAAATCAAGACTGAAAACACGCCACTACCTATAGTTAGCTTCGTTCATATCACTGGATACATTCCTTCCATGTCCTCACAAACGTTATATGTACTACTGAGTGTATAACCCAAAATATAATAAAACTGGAGTTACAAAAAAATCCTCATCAAATTGTTTCCTTCTGTCTGTTGGTTTGTATACCGGCCTGACCTCAACTTTTCTAAAAATAACTCTAATTTTTGCATTTAAATATTTTGGAACTTGTGTATTATAAATTTTTATCAATGTAATAATAATAATAATAATAATAAATGGCCTTTATTCGTCACACGATTACAAAATAATTGATTTAAAAGGAACAGTGACGAAAAGGTGGAGTGTCAGCTTATGCTGTTTTTCAACCCGACCTGGAAAACATTGACACAAACTATAGAGAGAGAGAGAAAAAAAAACTTAGAATATAACACTTATCAGAGAAAGGAAACAATCAATTACCTGTGGATATGCATAAAGTAAAATTTTAGCCATCCGACTGCTTTAAACTCATCTTTAACCTTTTTTTAAAATTGCTTAGGCTATATTCTTTATACTCACTTGATAAGCAGTTATATAGTTTGGGTGCCCAGTACGAGAAACTGCGTGTGAACAATGCTGTCGAATGCCGCGGGATAAGTAAGATGAGTTTATTCCTAGAGGATCTTTGATCGTACTGGCAGAGGAGGCTTAGTTTTGTATAAAGATAATATGGCGCTTTAAGGATAAGGGTCTTATGTACCAAAGATAGGCAATGCAGTTTCCTCAATTTGTTCATCTTAAACCATCCCGATTGGTCAAAAGCGCTACTAATATGATCAAATTTACGGATTCCATAAGAAAATCTGATGCATGAGTTTTGTATCATCTGAATCCGCTCGGCATCACGTTGTAAAAGAGCAGGTCCATAAACAGAGTCACCGTAAGATAATTTTGACAGGATAAGGGACTCGCAGAGTTTAAGCTTGAGCTGTGTCGACAGGACACTTCGACTCGGGTATAACTGACGAAGCACATTATAGGACGCATTGCATAGTTGGTTAACATGTTTAGTGAAGCGTAGCTTGCAGTCAAACCAGATACCAAGGTTTTTGCATTCGTTTACGAAGGATATGTCTTCATTATTCACCATAATATTAATGCGATATTGATTTATTTCACGTACACGTATTTCTTTTTATTCAAGTAATTGATTGTTGTTTAAAGGTATCAATTTTGGGAGTTTGGTGCAAAATTCATCCATCTGGGAATATTTAAGTGTTTTTATAGGAGCGCGTGGCCGCAAGTAGATGGACTCTGCACTTCCCACGCGACTGTTATCAGCTCATAAAGGATTATGTTCGGCCCCTCTAGATACAAACGGGATTACAATACTTCCTCGCCAGTAGGCGTGGGAAGTAAAAGCAACTATGCACTAAAATAAAAAGAAAAATATGGATGAAGGTTTAAAACACGTGTGTGAATATTTAAATTATAGAATTGCATAGATACGATAAAGTGTAAATTTGACTTTTCAGTTCTCAAAACTCCGCTTCATTTTTTTGATATAGTTAAAAGCAGTTATTTGGAACTAACTTTCAGTTTCATACGTGGAATATTTTCTAAAGGTGTGTATTGAATATAGAAGCAGTTACGTCAGGAGCTTTGGAATCTTTTCTACCAATTTGTCCTGCTCATTTCCGTTATTTTTCATAATTCTGATAGTTATGCACTCCTCATCAAAAAGGAACGGCAATGCTCCAATTAAAAATAAGAAATACTTTTTAAAACGCATAACATTTTATTCTTTTAAAAGCACATCATGAATACATATCATTAAGCTTATTTACATGCACACGAGCAATGAAAATCATCGTCTCTTACCTTAAAACTAAATATATAAATAAAGTAAAAAAATATAAAGTATTTATATCAAAATATAAAAAATCGTACTCAGATTACCATGGACACACGAATGGTGTATCTGTATATATGGAGACTAAAGTGATATGGCAAATGCATATACTACAAAAAGTACTAGTAGATGAAATGTCTAAACAAATTTAGCAAGTGGATGTGAAATTGTTGATAAGAGTTAATCTGCTATGAAACCTCTTTACATAATTTAGACTTAGATAGTAATGAATGAATGGTTGTTCATTATGATCAAAGGTAAAATATAGTTAGCCCATAGGACAACTAGTAACAAATGTAACTCTTGTTTTTTGTGTATCTTAATTAACTGGTGTACGAAAAAACTGTAAAATATCACATTGATATAACAAGGTGGTTATACGACAAACAACTGCATTTTTAGTATTTTCAGTAATTTTTTTTCTGTTAACCACTTAGAAACAACATTTGTCATATAACTTTTACTGGCTGCATACGTTGAGGAGTCAATTTAAAATCCAAGACTGAATTAATTCAAAATCATTCTAAGGAAAAATAAACTGCAAAACTTGTACTTCTATATCATTTGACCAAGGATGCTAGATACTAGGATGTGCGAATAATGATTCCAAAAGCAAACGAAATGGTATCAAGAAGTAGTAAGCAGCCTATCATATCGTTGGGATATGTTGAAGACTAAAAAATATCCATATGGCCCACTTTTAGGTTACGGCTTCATACGTACAGACAGGTGCATCCGGCCAAATAAGGGAAGTTCCTCAACGTATGGGGCTAGCTTGTAACGAATACAAACAACAAAATACTGATACAGGATCAACATAAATAACAACAAAATCATCGGTCAATAGCGGTGTTGTCAAGTCGCGTTAAATTTTATCAGATCTGATGACTTCTGTTTTTGACCTGACAAAAGTGATCGGCAACATGATTAGAAGTCATGAACTTTTTTGACGATAGCATGGAAGCCAGTATGTTTATCTGCCGTGTAAGAGACGATTCTTTTTGAACCATCAGGTTCAACCAAGGTGTATTCACCCTTGACCTTGTCTCCGTTACGTGTCTCCCATTGTGATTTAATGTCATGCGTGTGCAGGTCATGGACGTGGTAGTCGTAGTGGTACTTTGCTGGTGCCTGTGGACAAAATATCACTGATAAATTTATATTCAAATTTCATTTAAATCAATAGGACCGAAAACTTAACGGAAAGCAAATGGAAAATGTTGTATCGATTAGCTGGCCATTTTACCTTCCTGCCAGCTGGTTTGCAGCATTCTTGTTAATATATACAATAAGGTATGCTAACACACGTACAGCCGGGTGATATTTCTCAAAGGATGTATATTAAGAGAGGGGGTGCTGTCTAGATAAATGGCAACCATTTTACGCAATACGCAAAAATGAATCTAAAGCATATATTTCTATTCTGTTTCTAAACTAAGCCGTGTACTATTCAGGGTTTTTTCAAGAGCGACATAACAATTCCGTACTTTTATATATAAGAAAATCCGGAATTTCATCGCAAGATCATCTTCAGCGATGAAGCTCATTTCTGGCTCAACGGCTTTGTCAATACGCAAAATATGAGTTATTGGGCAGCAACAAAGCCACATTTGCTTCAAGAGAAACCATTCCATCCGCAAAAAATCACCGTATGGTGTGGTTTTCATGCTGGTGGTGTGATTGGACCGTGTTTTTCCGTTGATGAAAACGATCGGCATGTTACAGTGAATGGAGTGAGGTATCGTGGCATGTTGGAAGATTATTTTTGGCCGGAATTGGATGATCTTGACATCAGTGATATATGGTTCCAACAGGGCGGTGCTACATTCCACACAGCATTAGATTTCTTTTTGTGGGGCTACATCAAGTTGTAGGTCTAGATGAGCTACTCGACAACATTCAACGCAAATTTCGCAACATCCCGGTCAATATATGTGATAGACTGGAGGAAAATTGGGTCCAAAGAATCGACCGCTGTAAACGTGCTCGTGGTGGACATATGGCCGAAGTCGAATTCTATAGTTAAATGTTACATCTCTACTACACCTGTAATAAATTTGAACCCGATATGTCAAATACTTCGCGTTTTATTGAGTTACGAAATTGTTATGTCCTTATGGGAAAACCCTGTATATGTACGAAACAGAGGTTGTTCAAGTTGTTTTCAAAACCTGTACGTCATCCCATAGCTATTTAACTTTTAGGGCAATACGCGAAATATCACACAACTAAATTAAGTAACGTAAGAGAAATATATGCTTTAAGTCGGTGTATTTGACATGGTTGCTAGTTATCTAGACAGTCTCATTCTCCTCTTGATGAAAGCGACGGACACAGGGGATCAAATTACTTGTTGCGGTATCTACTAGTGATGCCAAAGTAAGTGTGTCCTCAGTAACAAGCGCATGGATTGAAAGCAACGAGTCTGACGTTTAAGTTAAATCAAAGTGGCTCATATTTCTAATTGGGTCATGTATTGATATAATTTCGCATCAAAGCTCAAATGTTAAATGAAAGGTGAAGCTGTGAATCATCTGACAACCCTAAAGGCTCACTTTATTCTGTTGTAGATTCTACCTAAACAGTAACATGTTATAAGGACATTATTGAGGTTGTTTGATTGCTAGAAACAGAAACTTTGTGTAACAGATCCCTGTGAAATTTGGATAAGTCACACTCTGATCCTTTCCGTGACTGTCAACATTAATGTCAGTGAAACTTCTATACGTTTTCATGAAAACTAAAAGGTTTTAGAGACTGACCATACAACGCACCTCTCTTAATACCTAGTTATGTGTATATCAATTGCTGTGCGATAATTTTGTTTGGAGAGAGATGTAATGTGAGGCTGTAGCAGGCAACCTTTTGAATGGTGGATTAGCGGCGGACTCTCCATCAAAAGCATTCACCAAAGCGAAGTCACAGTTACACGCGCTTTAGAATACTTTCAAGTTCTCTTCTAAAGTTTTTGTGTTTGTTTTTTACTATTTCCAGTACCTACCTTCACTTTTATAGCTAATAGATATCCCTAAGCAAGCAAACAAGTTGTGGTGAAACTACAGACCTCGAAACTTCATAGAATGCACCCGCTATCAGCCACCTGGCCAAAGCAAACCTGATTATGTCAGTTGTAGAGCAGGACAATAGCAGGCCGTGCATATAGGGCAGAGACGCAAAGTGATATGATGTAATTCCGAGTGTTCGTTTGTTTTGTATGGCTCATTGCGGTCCATTCTGGTCTGGTAATAACCCGGTTATATCGAACGAATGTACAATTCAACGGCCGCCTTGGTTCATTCATAAATATGTCGCTTTGGTTACCCAGAGGCGGTGCAAGGTATGAAGGTATCCCCATAAAAAGATTTTGGCTGAATGGCCTAGAAACCAATTGTCTGACTATCGACGGGTAAATGATAACTTGAAACGAATCCTGATAAATTCTGAGGAAAATTCCGAATCATTTTTAGTTTTACACACGTAGAAGATGGACTCAAACCTACACGGAAATCATTGGCTTTCGTTAGTGTTGACTGAGGTTCTGTTACTGGATACATTTTTGTACTTTACTCTTAGAACTAATTATCATTCACTTAACGTTTGCACCCAATTCCGACAGATCATTTTCAAGATTGTTGACGTGGTAAAAAATTTGGTCGTTCGGAGTAATGTTCTTTCCACTACTACCCTAGATCCGATGAACGGTGCCATGTTAGTATGGGATTGTTGTATATGGAAAAATCACACGTATCCTCAGAATCAGAAGTACTGCTTACGTCATCAACATAATAATGTTTCCTGTTTGCATAAACATCACATAGATGGACTTCCGTGGATGAGTGTGAAAGAATCGCAGGCAAACAAGAAATTAATCGAATCTGGAACATGCGGATGTCTCGCCGTTGTCTATCACTGTCATCCCTAAAGACGCAGTTAACTTTTCGATGAAACATTTAATGATATGAAAAACCTAAGAAAACATTATTTTGTTTATAATTAGAGATCATTCTCCGAAGAGCAGTCGCCAGGGTGGTCTCGTAATTTGTAGTCCAGTAATAGATAGTTTTTCAGTTAAGCTAACAGTCCGGTTTTTTTTTTGGGTGGGGGATAAGTAAATAGAAGTGAGAAAATCCCACTCCACTACAATATTTGACCATCCAAATTACCCCTATTGTCTTTCAAAGGTGCAGTGAACCTGTTTAAACGCATAAACACAACTAAACAAAGATGACCGAATTTTACCTCACTCTAAATTGAATGTGGCGTTCTCCGAAATGAAGTCATTTTAAATCAGATATAGCGGCCGCCGCAAAACCGCAGCTTACTATTTCCATACACTATGGATATTAAATGTAAGGGTTTGATGAGGGAAAGGTAACAAACATAATGACTTCATTCTAAATGCAGATTTACATTTTCCATATTCATCGGTGTGACATGAGTATCAAATGCTACAGCATTTGAAACATCTGCTACAGCATTTGAAATTCCATATTGCGATAAACGAAAAACATCGATTTATCATATAATATGTTTCTATCGAAATTTTGTAAAACAAGTAAAGTAAGAAGTTTTAGGGAGTCTTATTAATAAAACTTATTAAAATCTTATCGAAATTATCAAGCTGTCATCATAAATACTGAAAAGAAAAAAATCAGGTAAAATAAATAATCGATTTTTATTTAGCACAAGCTTTCATTTAGGTGATAAGGAAAATGTTTTTCTCATTGGCTTGTTGCGTTTTAGTAGCAGGGTGTAACATGTGTGTAGCACGCTGTGATTTGAGTTGGAGGAGATTTGAATATAGTATTTCCAATCGAAAAAAATATTATTATATTGTAGTTTGATTTATTAACAGCTACATAAAGTATTGTTTAAAAAGTATATTTTCTTATGTTATTTATTTAGAACCAGGCTGCACAAAGATAGCTTAACCTCTACGACAAGCTCCCCTGATTCGCAAATTTCGCCTACGCCGCTCTATTTTTCGTGGCGTGTGTTCTGCCTGTGGCTGGAGCACAAACGGAACCAGCCGAGTTCCTAAGCGCATTACAAGGTCTTTGTGCGTGCAATTGCAGGAAAACCGCATATGAATTAGAGAGTCAGCCCTACTGGCGTCCCTGAATACACCAACGTGTTTTGCTTTCACGCTTTCAACTTTAGAGTGTCAGCATAGTAGTCATCGCTGAAGGTAGTGTGGAAGAGTACGTTTTATACACGCGAATTAGGGTAATTTCGTTGCCAGAGATGGAGCAGTTTGAAAGCAGCATGTGAAATGAGAAGAGTCGGTACCACTGATGGCGCTGTATGCGTCAACGTGTTTTAACTTTCACGCGTTCAACTTTTGGGTCTCACCACAAGTTTTTGGGGAGTATACTCTGGAAGAGCTTTGTTACGCTTGGCACAAGTAGTGTAAAAATTTCGTGTGAAGTGGAGTCGGCTCGACTGAAAACCCCGAATACATAAAAATGATTTACTTACAACATAGTAGATACCTTCGCGGAATTTGGTCTGGAAGAGCTTATTTTATATGCTCGAAGTAAACTAGAAATTCGACGCAAGTTGAAAAGTGTTTTGCTCTTGCGCCTTTACGCGTTCAACTTTGTAGTGTACAATAGAAGAGTAGAGTGCGAAAGAGCTTGTTTTATACGCTTATTCGTGACTATTATGGGATATAAACTTCTACAGGTAGGCTGTTAACATATCGGCGCGATGTGTTTGGTAGATTTTTTAAAATTACATGAAATAACTGTCTCTGTAATATTTTTCTATCTCGGCCATATTTTTTGACGTTTCCGACCTTTTATGTATTGCAGTCAGATTGCCGAATTATTGTATGTAATGTAAGTAATGTAAGCTGCAGCGATTCTTACAATTCCGTCAAACACCCGACACCAACGTGTTTTGCTTTTAAGTGTGCATGTTTGGAGTTTCAAAATAGTGGATACCATTGCGGAAATAGTGCGGATGAGTTTGTCTTATGCTCTCAAATTAGGATTCTTATGTAGCAGTTTAAAACGTGCATGTAAATTTGAGAATCGGCTTCGCTGACAACCCCTAATACACTGAAGTGCTTTACTTTCACGCGTTAAAACTTCCAACATAGTGGATGCAATCGTGGATAGTAGTGTAGT